AGTCCACTTCTGATTCTGGGTCTTTCTCCACACTGGGGACAGGAGGAGGGTCCTGATGAAGCAGACTGGCCCCAGTATGAGGTGATGCAGGGGATGCAGGTTCTGCAGAACCAGTGTCCACAGCTGGTAGAGACTGGATCCTTCAGGACGTCCTGACACAAAGAACAGCAGGACAGCTGCTCCTCCTCACAAACACCACTCCTCTTCCTCCCTCTGAAGACATTTACTGATGAAGAACTGGAAGAACAGGAAGTGTTGATCAGATCATCAAAGAAAATAAAACTCTGTTTAAATCAGAAACAGTTTTCTTACTTTGTCTCTGAGGATCCAGGTTCAGGACTGAAGTTTGGAGGTAAAGGTTTGGACTTGTCACTTTTCATGGACAGACAGCTTGGTCCTGGAGGTCCTGCAGGTTCTGGTCTCACTCTGAGGCTTTGCCCTCTGAAACACAACATGTTGTTTTTCACATCAATCAGTGAAGAAAAGCATTTCAGAAGCTCTGAACACAAAACTGCTGCAGAGACTCAGAAGGTCTAAAGATCCAGAGGAAAMCTTCAGGAGGATCTGTTGGACAAATGAAACCTGATGGAAGAACTGGTTGAATTAGTGGAGATGCAGCAGAGCTTCAAGCAGGATTTAGAACCATCTGACCCTGACAGAGTTCACATTCAGAGCTGGACTGACTTTAGAACTTCAGCTTCACATGATGGACTGAGCAGTTTTCACACAGATGAGATTCAAACATGACAGACAGTCAGCTCCTCTGAGGAAAAGACTCATTTCTATCTGAWTCATGTTGAAGCTCAGAGCTTTGATTCTTCTGTCTTCAGTTCAACTTCAAGTTTTCTCCTATTTTTTGCAGCTGCTGGGTTTGGCTAGCTGAGGGTCAGGACTGATGTCAGGTTGAACAGTCCACAATCCTCCCAGAAACAGAGTCAGGCTGAACAACTCACTGCAGTCTGTCTCTCATTCAGGTCACATCTGAAGATTTCTGCTTGAAAAGTCAGAAACTCATCAAACCTGACTGGTGAGTCAGCAGTTTTCAACAAGAAATCAAAGCTGAAATTCTCTTATTTGTTCTGTGAGGAGTTACAGGACTCAGAAACAGTTTTCTTACTTTGTTTCTGAGGGTCCAGGTTCAGGACTGAAGTTTGGATGTCTTTGTTTGGACATGTCACTCTTCATGGACAGACAGCTGGGTCCTGAAGACGTGTCCTCCACCCAAACTTCCATCTTCTGGTCTTCAGTCACTCTGTGAGAAAAAAAAACAATCAGTCTCCAAGTGGTTCAGGTCCAGTCAGTCTCCATGTAGTTCAGGTCCAGTCAGTCTCATGGTTCAGGTCCAGTCAGTCTCCATGTGGTTCAGGTCCAGTCAGTCTCCATGTTCAGGTCCAGTCAGTCTCCATGAGGTTCAGGTCCAGTCAGTCTCATGGTTCAGGTCCAGTCAGTCTCCATGTAGTTCAGGTCCAGTCAGTCTCATGGTTCAGGTCCAGTCAGTCTCCATGTGGTTCAGGTCCAGTCAGTCTCCATGTAGTTCAGGTCCAGTCAGTCTCCATGTGGTTCAGGTCCAGTCAGTCTCCGTGTAGTTCAGGTCCAGTCAGTCTCCATGTAGTTCAGGTCCAGTCAGTCTCCATGTAGTTCAGGTCCAGTCAGTCTCCGTGTAGTTCAGGTCCAGTCAGTCTCCATGTAGTTCA